AGAGGCCATAGTTTTAATGTAGAGGGGAGGAGATTTTGAGAGGATTTAAGGAAAAATTCTTTTACCAGAAGCAGCTGGGTATTGGGAATGAATGGCTTGAAAGGGTGAGAAAGACAGTAACAGCCATAACACTTAAGAAGTATTTAGATGAATACCTGAAACACTGTGGCATACAAGACTACAGGCCAAATGCTAGAAAGTGGGACTAAGTGCTTTATAATTGGTACATACACAATGGTCCAAAAGGCCTCTTTATGTGCTGTAAAAATCCATGACTCCCTCTCCATGTTTCAATTTTTGATTCCTTTGGAAATCTAGCATGTTGACATATTCCTCTACCATAAATATGGCTGCAAGTGTGTATTATTTCATTCTTTTTCATAGACAGTATTATTATTATTCATTTTCAAGGGTCCACATTATTCCTGATCATCTTTTTTTTCGATATAATAGCCAAATTTATCATGCTGATTTTGATTTCTCTTGACATGATCTAAATACTATTCTGATTGCCATTGTCAAAAAAAAGTGCTATTGTGTTCAGGATTAGGCAAGTAATCACTCAGTAGTTACCCATATCTAAGGAAGAGCTCTATTTTATAGCAATCTTTAAGGTGCTCACTGTTGATCTATTGAGAGTTTCTTGCTTGAATGTAATTCTGAGTAAGCAAATGGAACTTATATCATCACAACGTTGAAACAGTGCTTTAAAACATTGAGTGCTGTGACCTGCTATCAGGTTTTCTATAAATTAAGTAACCCAAGTCTCAGCTTTTAGTTTTTTCTTACTTCTGATGGAGTTGATGTAATACTGCAAGTAGTTTTATATACCAGACACAGTTAGGTGCCAGTAGGCTAGGTCTCGTAGATCACTCAGATTGAATGGCCTTTTTCTGTGCTGTAAGTTCTATGTATCAGCAAAAACGGTTCCATTTCATCCAGTGGATATTGAGTTAACAATAGCTTATGGTGTAAAGGTTAAACAGCTTCCAGCTATATTACAAACATCCATGATTCCTGAAGATCTTCTCTCTGAAGTTACAAGAGAGCTGGTATGCAGAAGAGAAATTTCACATTTGTATGTTAGAGAGCACCCAAGTAAGGCATATTGCTAAGCAAAGTAGAGAGAGCTTTATTTGCTATTTGCCTATACTACCACTGATCTGAAAATACTTAATACAGACCATAAGGAAAATCAATCCTAATTTGATGACATTGATGTACGCACCAAAATTTGTATTTTTTTCTTAAATATCCTAATTGTTATCAGCTTATTTCGGGATCCAGTAACTGATTGGGCAGGGCACAGTACAGAAGCATCCTGTCTATTTTGGAAACTGCAAGGCACTATCAACCTGTGTTACAGTAATTTGTAAAACAAATGTTGTAAGTTCTTTGTAGAACCACAGAATACATTTTTAATGCTTCTTGCTGAAGATTTTTTAATCACATTTTTCATTGAGCTGAACACTTTGCATTGAAATGAATGGAACTGAAAAGTAAGTCAAGCAGAAATATACAATTGTATATGATTAAACATATCTAATACATTTGCAGATGTAATTATTGCAAATTTGACAAATATCAAAAGCAAATTTTTTTAACTAATGATTTGAAGGATATATAAAAACTTTAAAATAATATTTTTTTAGAACAAAACTATCAAATCCACAGGTCTTCCCAAAGTTACTGAGTGGTTATTTTTATATCCATTTCTTCCAGTAAGTGGAAGCTTTGATATGAAGCAATTTATTGTCTGGAAAGTTTACTCGTCCAAAGTGAATCTCAGTGAGATAAGTGTTAAAAATTTTATTTTGTTTGTCACATTGTCACAACCAGATAGGAAATGAGACAATATCATTTCAACCCACTCATGTGATTGAATGATAAAAAATATCAAAACAAAGAGAGCAGAAAATGGAAGTATAGAATATTGTCAATAAATAAATTGCATGCCCAGGGTTCAAATTTCATGAAACTTAAACAACATTCTTCAAATTACTCTCTTTCATTGTGTTTATTATGGGCTTAGGAAACAACTTTGGGGATGGTATACACTCGCAGTTTATCCATTGAATGATATTATCGGGAAAAAGTTTAGAAAATATAAAAATAGTTAAGAAAATATGCAAAATCACAGTGTTCTTCAGAAGCTAAATACTCAGTGTTCTGTCTTCTATTGTTTTTCTGTATTGGTTCTACTTCTGATCACTTGTTTTGATCCAGAAAAAAAAACAGATAGAACTGATCTGAAAGTAATGCTAAATTTTTGATCTAACATATATATGTGACAAAATATTTGTTCTTTTTATAAATAGAAAATTAAGAAAGAAATATGTTTCAGCATTGAATCAGTTAGTATGACATTTTTAGAGGGTAATTTGGAATAAAAACCTTAATTAATGTGAGCAAAAGCAATTACTCAGATTTTGCTATGAACAGCAAACAACTATTTCAGTGATATGAAAGGCTAAACTTGTGCATGGGCTTTGCAAGGGAAATTTGGGTGGCAAGTTACTGTTAGTGGTGCAATACTTGCTAAAGAATACTTGAGACCTATTTCAAATCGGCAAGAGTGTAGATTTTTAACAATTCTGCTTAAGGAATCCTTATTGAATAACACAGAGCCTTACCCAGGAAATATAAGCTAATATAAGAATTCAATCTCAAATAAAGCGGAGGAAATGAAAGTTTTAAAAAAAGATTGGATCAAGGGAGACAGAAATAAAAAGTTGAAAACATCTATTTTCTTCTTCGAATGAAATGCTGTGTAACTGCTCATTTTCAGTGCCTGAGAGGTTGTTAGCAATAATGACATTGTTAACAAAACCACTCTCATTAATGATGACAATGAAACAAGTGTATTTTTGTCAAAATACATTTGGTATGCAATTGATTTTTGGGTACGGAAATCTGCTGTTCTTGCCTGGTCTGGTCTCTATCTGACTCCTAACACATAGTGATGTGATTCTTGACTATTCTCCAAAAAGGCCAAACCATCGAACTATTCGTATCAAACCACCATGAAAATGTCTAAAACATAAAACTGGATGGACAACTAAGTTTTAATGTAGGCGTTGAACACGACAGCAGCCAGTTTCATTAGCCTTGAAAAATCCTCCTCACAAATGTTTGGGGAGTAGTGCCAAAAATTTGGAGAGCTGTCCCAGAGGAGAATCAAGCCAAGAACGTGGCATAATCATATTCACAAAACCGTACATTTCACCCAAGGATCCATTCTCCCATTCATCTCTGAATACATCCTGTTCTACTGGCAGGAGAACACAACAGCAGACAATGAGAAAGAGAGGCCCTGGGAGACTGCAGCATTGGCTTCAAACCTCATGAGCAAGGAAGTTGTCTGCTAATACCACCTACTTATGAATCAGTGCTCCTCAATGTTGATAGAAAAAGCATAAAGCACACTCTGGGTGGGATGCTTCAATGTCCATTGCCATGGGTGTCTGTGTACCACCAGCACTGATAGAGCTGGCTTAATCCTGAAGAAGATATCTGCCAGAATGGCTTGCAGCAAGTGGTTCTGGTATGAATAGAGGAAAGCACACTTGACCATGTTGACAACAAACTACCTGACTCAAATGTATCCATGATCGTACTGGTTGGAGGGCCCACCACAAAGAACTTTCAGAGCTAAAGTGTAGGAAAGTATGTAAAGATCAGCACCAGGCGTACCTGAAAATGAAGTGTCGAATTGATGAAGCTACAACTCAGCCCTCTATGCATGAAAACAAGAGAAGCAACATCTACAGATAGACCAAAGTGACTCCGTAACCAATAGGCCAAATCAAAGCTCTGCAGTTCAGCCACATCATTCATAAATAGTAATGGGCAAACAACTCAGACCTGGAGGATGTTTCCAAAACATTCACATCCTCACCGGCAAGGAGCATTTATTGCCTATCCTTAATTACCCTTGCGAAGGTGGTGCTGAGCTGCCTTCTTGAATCGCTAAAGTAGCAGTGGTGTAGGTACACTCACTGCTGTTAGGGAGGGAGTTCCAGCGTTTTCAACCAGGGACACTGAAGGAACAGCAATATATTTCCACGACAGGATGGTGAGTGGATTAGAGGGAAAGTTGCTGATGGTGGTGTTTTCAAGTATCTGCTGTCCTTTTTCTAGATCACTGTTCTTACCTGCGTATCCAGCCCAGTTTAATTTATTGATAGATCTATGCTCTGCCTATGAAGAAATATATATATTTATAAATACGAACATACATTTTGACAAAGTAGTTGGGAAGGATTGCACATGAATTTCGTTAATGTAGCTTTGGTCTGGATTGATATTCTAAATGCACTAAATAACTTTTCTTATTCTTTGTGATCTTGGTGCTTGACGATTTCCCGACTTATGTGCACCCCCCACCCCCCGCCCCCGCTCACAATATATCCAAAAAAAACTCTTTTCATTTATAATTGTAAATATAGCCGCGCTTCAATGGATTCACGCTATGGATCTGCTCACATTAATTTGCTAAGTTTGCTTATACTAATCATTTTAGTGAAATGCCAGTTATTTCACAGAACTCGGCACAACGAACCAGATAACCTCGCTGTAAAACAATATACAGTTTGGGCAATGATATGCTTTAGTTCAAATCATTCTTCTTTAAAAAAATATGTACCAGCTCAGGTATCCATGGAAAAAAAAATCATGAATGCACTGCTTAATACAAGAATTGTGACCAGAGATTTTAGCACGGAGAACCATGTTGCTGACAAATCACACGAAACTCACATTTTGAACTGGACTGAAATGTATGTATGCAACCTTTGTTTGCTTGCACCGCTGAAATCTGACGGATTGACCACACGTTCAGACTGGGCTCTTCTCATCACCACCCGCGCATCGTTTTACATGGTCGGGAAGCCACTGAAGTTGTGAAGTTGAGGTGCTGTGTGCTGGAGGCGTTAGGACCGGAGGAGGCGCTGACGCTCTGCGCTCCCCCCCCCCCCCCCCCCCCCCGAGGAGGAGCTGACTCACACGGTGACGGCAGAAAGTCCGACAGACCTGGGAACGGGAGAAGAGCAGCGAGAGAGAGCCGAGGGCGGCGCGCAGTGAGTGCACACTCGCTCGCTGCTGGAGTGGGCAGTGCCAGGCGAGTCTTTCGGCCCCCATCGCTCAGCTGGATGATGTCTACGACGGAGGAGAGTCGAGTGGCGACGGTCACCCCACTCAAACTGACCGGGCTGGTGTGTGTGGTCCTCTCGCTGTGCCTGGACGTAGTGGCCTTACTGAGTCCAGCCTGGGTCACGGCCGACAGTCACTTCTCACTCTCCCTCTGGCAAAGGTGTTTCCGACCGGTCTCGTCCCCCGACACCGAGTGGGACTGCAAATGGGCATTGGGCAGCGGTAAGGAACGGCGAGATTCAATCCGCCCGTGCGTCGTTCGTGGGCTCTGGGACCAGACACAAATGACTGGAAGAGTGAGTTAGACAGAAACTGAGACAAGGTTGTAAGGACACTGAGAATGATTGACAGGGGAAAAAAAATCACACTGCCAACTGAGTAACAGACAACTTGACAAAAACCCAGAGGCAGCTCACTACTTATTAGCAATTCGAGAAATTGACTGAAACATTGCTGTGAGGAGTTAAACAGCAGAATGTTAGGTGGACATAAAATGAATAAATAGAGCTTTGTAAACATCTGAAAAGTCTTAAAACAGATGAAGAGTTAAGTAGGATGGGCAATATAAAACGAGAAAGGAATTGTGCACAGGCATTAAGACAACTGGGGAGAACGATTAGATAGAAATATTGAAATTTAGAACCCGTTCCTTTCACACCGACTCTTATGGGTTGAAATAGATGGGTGGAGATGGGGGGTGGTGGGGGGACGACAAGCAACGTTTGTTTTGCGGAGACATCTTAACATTTATGCTTGCATCACAGAAACACAAATGTTCAGGCAGAAACAGATATGCATTGGGACATGTTATATTCTGACAAACACAAGACACAGTAAGACCTGCTTTACACTGATAGAAGCGTAGTCGATTACAATGGGACATGGTGCATAGTTGCCGAAGCATTGACACGGATGTCGGTACTGAAACTTAACACACTTCGGAAAATGATTCTGAGATTTGTTTTAGTCTCAGACATGCTTTAGGACGTGTACAGAAGACAAAACACACAAAGAACTCCACGGGGGCAAATTATATAGCCCAAATCTGACAGAAATTAGACATGAAGATATGTATAACAGATAATGATAAACACCGGGTTACACTGATACATATTCACAGGTGGTGAAATGAGACTAAAACAGACTAACTGGAATAACTGCTATCAACTTGATGGTTGGACACAATACAGTATTAAATACGAACAAACCAAGATTAAAATTAAGACATGACCAAGTGACTAACAAACAATTAAATACCTTCAGACACAGTAGGCTTACAGAACTCAAAACACAGACAAATGATAATCATACTGGGATAAATGCTATGTAACTTTTCATCTGGACACTAATATAGACCTTATCCATAGCCTGACAGAGGAGGAGAGAGTGAGAGAAATTTAAAACAAAAAGGAGGCAGGAAGGAGATGGATTCTGCGAATGGCACTAATCCAGTATAAAAACTCACAAAATAAAACTGTAGAGGTTGAAGGAAGTACTTGGAATGGAAACGAACTACAAATGGGAGAACACTTTAAATGGGGAAATAAAGAATGTGGGAAAATTCAGAAATCTAAAAGAAACAAACTGCAAGATGATTTTAAAAAACAGTTTGAGAGAAATATAAGTAACAGATATTGAAAACAGTGAGCAAAAATAGAATAATGAATAATAAAATAAAAACACTGGTGCCAGATGATAAAAATGGAACTAGAAATAGAATTAGATAAATACAAGAAAAAAATAAGTGACGGAGAAATACCGTGAAAAGATGGACAAAGTAACAGGAGATGAGTGCAATTTGTGTTATAGGATCTTGTACTAATGTGAGCTGGTGTGAGGGTCCCGGTGCTGTTGGACTTAGTAGTTTGCGAAGTTTTTTTAAATGTAAACGCAGAAGAGAAAATGTAAATACAGGTTTAAGGGATCCTTCTGGCAGTCTTATTTGTGGGAGGCGACGTAAAAGCTGTTCCAGAAGAAAGATAGAGTGGCTGATGTCAGGAATCCAGAAAAAAGAGCAATTGCTGGCAATAACATGAAAAGATATACGTCACTACAGCTGCTGATCTGGTTCTGTATTTGTTTTTACATTTTAAAATATTTATTGTAGTCAGTTGTCAACAAGTCGTTATAAAATACACCCCGTGCACGGGAAGTTATTCAGTTTCGGTGGCTCTGTTCTATCTTGCTTTCATTTCGTCTTTGTGTTGTTGGTTAAAAAGTGCCTTCATCAACAACAATTTATTTGCTTCTAATCGTTGATCGGAGCTCACGGGAGAACAGTGAAGGTCGCTCAGAGTCCGATCAGCTGCGATTTTTACTTTCCAGGTTTGCTGGGGAAACAGTTGCCGATTTCTCTGAAGCTGTCTGGGCGTTCGAGAAACATTAACACAATTATGTGGGCTTTAGCCCTGACAGTGCGGCGTGCTGCTCTCGCTGTGGCTGTCTTTTAACAGTTTGGCTGTTTTGTTTTGTTTAAAGAATCGTGTTTGATGATTATCTCCTAAAGCTTGGCGGTTAGCAAGTTTGTGGTGCCTTTGTGGAATATGGATCATGCGCTCTTCCGAGATTAAAACTTTCAACTGTATATGTGGGGAGGAGGGGTGAGTTGAAAGGAAAACAATTGGCAGCGTTTGTTTCACAGTTTATTCACTAATTGCAATGAGCAGGGGAACAGTCAACCATCTCTCCAGCCTACTTGCCAGAGACAAGCTCCTGACAGCTCCTTTTAAAGGCATATTATGTGATAGCCACATAGTGCTGTTTGCACGGCCCTTTCTGTTGATGAATTTTTAAAAACTGCAGTGGGGAAGGAAGGTCTCAGAACGAGGACGATGCGACTCGCGCGAACTCTGGTGCTCAATTGGGCACTGCGCCTATTCTTAACAATTCGCGCATGATGTTTCAAGGATTAAAAAAAGTCTTGTTTCCGTATTTATTTTAATCATGTGCAAATTCGAAAAAGGGAGAATCCACGAACTTTATTTTGTACAAGAAGATGTTTTTATTTAACCAAAGTCATATTCCTGGTGTTTCATGACAATTGTATGAAAGATAAAAGGTGAACATTGTGTTGGGCTATGCATTATTGTGCATTGGACCGGATATAGAGTCTGCTTCACAGGTTTCAGATGTTTTACTCAGTTTCCAGTGAGATTGGGTTAGCAATCCAAAGGCCCAGGCTAGCGCTGCAGGGACATGAGTTCAAATTCCTGTTAGAATTTAAACATAATTAATGATTCTGGAATTGAAAATTGGTCCCTGTAGTGTCCTGAAACTATCGTAGATTGTTGTAAAACCCATCTGGTTCATTACCGTCCTTGAGGGAAGGAAATGTACCTCTCTTTACTCGGTCTGGTTTACTTATGACTGCAATGTTGCAAATGTCTCTGGCCAGGTCAGCATTTGTTGCCCCATCCAAACTGCCTTTGAAATAGCCTGGCAACCGTTTTAGTTCAGGGGCAATTAGGGATGGGGCAACAAATGCTGACCTCACCAGAAATATTTACAACCCATGAAATGAAACACATCCCCTGTATGTAAATTAAGTCATTTCATACAAATTAACAGTCCCAGATGTTTCAGTGATACGGATAAGATCACCAAACATTAATGTTATTCTTCTGCAGTCAGCTATTTACATACATTAGCCCTGAATTTGCCCTGCAGAATTCAAGCTTAGGTACAAAGTGGCACTCTGGACAAGTTCTGTGTTCGAACTTGCCCATCATCATTTTATTCTTCAGTTGTAACATGAGTTTTGTAATGTATTTGAGTAGGAACTGTTCCAATGTTCAAATGTTTTATATCAGTATAGACTGATGCTTTTAGAATGACAACAAATAACACTTTTTTACCTGTCTACTGTTGTATTAGCTCACATTTTTGAGTTTGTATGTCAAATAAGATGTATTACAGTTTGGTTTGTTGCAACATTCATGTAGAAGAGGCAACGTAATAAATAGAGGGTGCAAAGGAAATGAAATATTCCATAATTCCATCATGAATGGTTATTTTAAGGCTGTTTTAGTGGGCAATATTTTCTGTATGTGAGGTTTTCCAAGATCAATATTTTATTTAATGTTGTGAAACATTTAAAGTTTTCAACCATTTTTAATGTTGTCAGGTGCATGTTTCTGGAATCAAACATAGAAACATAGGAGCAGGAGGAGGCCATTTGGCCCTTTGAGCCTGCTGTGCATATATCACGATCATGGCTGATTGTCCAACTCAATAGCCTAATCCTCCTTTCTCCCCATAACCTTTGATACTATTTGTTCCAAGTGCTATGTCTAGCTGTCTGTCAAATACATGCAATGTTTTGGCATCAACTACTTCCTGCAGTAATGAATTCCATAGGCTCACCACTCTTTGGACATCCTAAATGGTCTACCCTGAATCCTCATACTGTGACCCCTGGTTCCAGACAGACCCACCGTCAGGAACATTCTCCCTGCATCTACCTTGTCTAGTCCTGTTAGAATTTTATTAGTCTCTATGAGATCACCCCTCATTCATTTGAACTCCAACAAAAACAATCCCAACCTAGTCAATCTCTCGTCATACGTCAGACCCGCCATCCCTGGAATCAGCCTGGTATACCTTCGCTGCATTCCCTCGAGAGCTAGAGCTTCCTTCCTCAGAGAAGGAGACCAAAACTACACACAGTATTCTAGGTGTGGCCTCACCAAGGCCCTGGACAACTGCACTTTTGTCTTCTTTACTGCCTGCTGCACCTGCATGCTTACCTTCCGCGACTGGGTGTCCTTGTGCACCAGGTCCCGCTGCACACTCCCCTCTCCCAATTTACAGCCATTCAAGTTGTAATCTGCCTTGTGTTTGCTTCCAAAGTGAATAACCTGACATCTATCCCAATTATACTGCATCTGCCATTGATTTGCCCACTCACCCAACCTGTCTAGATCATGTTGAAGGATCTCTGCATCCTCGCCACAGTTCACCCTCCCACCCAACTTGGTTTCATCTGTAAACTTTGAGATGTTACATTATGCTCCCTCATCCAAATATATATAGTGAATAGCTGGGGTTCTGGCACGGATCCCTGTGGCACTCCACTAGTTACTGCCTGCCAATTTGAAAAGGATCCATTAATTCCTACTCTTTGTTTCCTCTCTGCCAACCAGTTTTCTATCCATCACTATACACTTCCCACAATTCCATGTGCTTTAATCTTGCACAATGAACTCTTATGTGGGACTTTGTCT